GGAGATCGGGACGATGTTATTATGATCGTCGACGGTAATCAGGTGATAATACAATGAGCATGTGTAGAGATGGAGACGGGACGGGGTGATGTAGTGCTCCTTGGTGATCGGAACTGTGAAGGCACAATGATCGTGTATAGTGATCGGGCCGAGACGGGATGGTGAGCGTGCAGTGATAGTTGATGGTGATCGGGACAATGAGTATACAATGAGCATGTGTAGTAAGAGGTGAGACGGATCGGTAAGAGTACAGTGATCGGTGGTGTTTGGGACAGGTACAGTGCAGTGAGCACGTATAAGGTCCGGATGAGGCGGGAATGATGAGGGTCGGGGGAGATCGGAACGGTACGAATGCAATGAGTGTGTGTAGTGATGAAGACGGAACGGAACGATCGTTGGTGATCGGAGCGGTGAGGAACAATGAGCGTGTGTAGTGATCGAGACTAGACGGGCCGGCAAGGGTACAGTGAGCGTCGGTAAGGGTGGGGTAGTGACCGGTGGTGATCGGCGCGGTTAAAGTGCAATGAGCATTATTGTGGTCGGGACGAGACGGGACGACGAGGGACACCATGAGTGTGGTTAGTGATCGGTTCGAGACGGGGCGTTGAGGATCGGTGGTGATCGGGACTATGAGACTGCAATGAGCATATGAAGAAATCCGGACGAGACGGGATTATGGGGGTCGGTGGGGATCGGGACGGTGAGACTGCAATGAGTGTATGTAGTGATTGGGATGAGGCAGGTAGACGTGGATCGGGACGGTGAGAGTGCAATGTGCAAAGTGTCTGGGCAAGTCGGGTGGGTAAGGGTCGGTAGTGATCGGAACGTGCAATGAGCACGTGTAGTGATCGGGACGTGGCGACAAACGGAGAGAGAGAGAGAGAGAGAGAGGGGAGAACTGACCTGCACGCGCAGGCCCCGCGGCGATGACGGATACAGTGTGTGGTTGGTGATCGGTTCGAAACGGGGCGTTGAGAATCGGTGGTGATTGGTACTGCAGACAGAGATGAGCATATGAAAAAGTCGGGACGAGACGGGACGGGATAATGGAGGTCGGTGGGGATCGGGACGGTGAGAGTGCAATGAGCCTATTTAGTGATCGGGGCGAGACGGGACGGTGAGGGTAGGTGGGGATCGGGACGGTGAGAGTGCAATGAGCCTTTTCAGTGATCGGGGCGAGACAGGACGTTGAGGATCGGTGGGAATCGGGACGGTGAGAGAGCAATGGGCGTTTGTAGTGCTCGGAACGTGCAATGAGCACGCGTAGTGATCGGGACGTGCCGACGAGCGTAGAGAGAGAGAGAGAGAGAGCGCGCGAGGAACTGAGCGCGTGGTGCGGCGCGGCTTGGCGCGTGCGCAGGCGATGGAGGCCGAGTGCCCGCGCGAGGCCAACTGCAGCTGCTCGCTGAGCGTGGTGCCCGACCTGCACGCTCAGGGCCCGGGCGGCGCGCGCGTGTTCCGGCCCATGGTGACGGTGGACTGCGCCGGGCGCGGCCTGCGCCAGCTGCCGCCCGAGCTGCCTGCCAACGCCACCACGCTGCACGTCGAGCACAACCAGGTGGGCCCTCGAAAAGCCTTAAGTCACCTGACCCTTCAACCCACCTAAATAGGCGAAACGAATTTGACTCAACATCGATGACCCAGACGTAAATATACAGCTTGTCCTCCCCTCTAAAAATGTTACTACTCTACATGTATGTAAATCCAGTGGTTAGTCGGAAGAGTAAGCCCTATGGCCTGAGCTTCGCCATTAATAAAAACATTATTGTTGTTGTTGTTATTATTATTATTATTGATAATTCAAGTCAAACAATTTATTGAAGTTTAATTTCAACAATACTGAACATGTTTGTAGTTACAAGTGCCGATCTCCACCGACCCTCATCGTCCCGTCTCGCCCCAATCACTAAATATGCTCATTGCAGTCTCCCAGTCCCGATCACCACCGATCCTCAACGTCCCGTCTCGAACCGATCACAAACCACACTCACTGCAGACGTTGTGAACCGCTTGTATGTGGTTTTCCGTTGGAGTAAACTGATGAAGACACAGTTCACATTTTCACTGTACGTTGTGTTACGAAAGATTTATAAATACAGTCACTGACTTAGTTTTATTCAGTTCAGTTATTTCCTACTTTTAAATAAATTCTCCTGGATGTGAAAAAAAACACAACTGAGTAACGAAATAGTACGAATGACATCATTAAAATCCACGAACGTTCATCAGTGTATCACTTTCGTGAGGAAAGTTCATGATTTACTTGCTCTTGTGCCTTCATCTTCCTTCTCCTCCTATTCTTCTTCTTTTTCTTCTTCTTCAATGCCGCGAGGTTGAAGGAGTCTTCTTCTTTTCTTCTTCTTTTCTTCTTCTTTTCTTCTTCTTTTTCTTCTTTTTCTTCTTCTTCAATGCCGCGAGGTTGAAGGAGTCTTCTTCTTTTCTTCTTTTCTTCTTTTTTCTTCTCCTTTTTTTCTTCTTTTTTCTTCTTCTTTTCTGTTTCTTCTCCTCCCACTCTTCTTCTTCATTGCCGTTAGGTTGCACTGATGAGGATTAATTTAACATCTCCTCCTTGATCTAGTATTTCCAATCTGTACTCGTGCTGGGCACTTGGATGATTCCCCGTGAGACACAAAGTGTTTGTGCGTGGGCAGATCTCGGACCTGCGGCCGCTGGTGACGAACGAGCACTACCGCGGCGTGCTGGACGTGTACCTGGACGGCAACGGCGTGCGGTCGGTGGCGGCGCTGGAGGGGTCGGCGTGGCTGCTGCGCTTCCGCCTGCTCAGCCTGCGCGGCAACCGCCTGGCGCGCCTGCCCACCTACGCCCTGGAGAGCGCGCTGCAGCGCAACCGCCACGCCGCGCGCCTCTACCTCGGCGACAACCCCTGGACGTGCGACTGCCAGAGCACGCCCAGCTTCCAGGTGCGCGCGCTCGCCCATGCGTTCGCCCGCACACTCGCCCTCAACTTCACCCTGCACCGCACCCTGCACCGCACTCTGCACCTTACCCACCCCTTTCATCCCCCTCAACCTCACCCTTCACCTCACTCTAATCGCTCTCAATCTTACCCTGCCCTTGCATCGCCCCACCTCACCTTTCACCTCACTCTCCCCTATCATCGCCTTCAACCTCACCTTTCACCTCACCCTCCCCTATCATCGCCCTCAACCTCACCCTTCACCTCACCCTCTCTTTTCAACGCCCTCAACCTCACCCTTCACCTCACCCTCTCTTTTCATCGCCTACAACCTCACCCTTCACCTCACCCTCCCCTATCATCGCCCTCAACCTCATACCTCACCACACCCTCTCCTTTCATCGCCCTCACCCTCCCCTTTCATCGCCGTCAACGCCACCCTTCACCTCACTATTCCCTTTCACCTTCTGTTCGCCCTTTACATCACCCACCCATCCTCCCTCTTAATATTCCTCTCACTATTAACCTCGCGCTATACATGAACACTACCAATACACTACATTCACTTCTCTCACACTTTGCCATCTCCCACCCTCACTATTACGATTTTCAGAATAAATATAAACAAGTTAAGTAAAATTTACCTAACTCATGTTTATAATTTCAACTTTACACATATTTCAACTAATAATTAATTTTAAAATGATCATCAAAAGTAAATAAATTACATTCAATAGAATGTTGAAATACAGGCTTCGCACAATTATTAGAGCATTAGTCGTGCAACGTTTTGGTCTAAATTAATTGCCATCGACATTTTAGAATTTCTATTCACTTCTCAGTCTTGTATATTGAACACGAAGACATTTGTTAATCCAACTCACCATTTTCCTCTGGCTATATTTTAGAACTCGTCTTAGAAACGCATATGTGCATTTAAATATAAGTAGGTACATGACGTTTCCTTCTGTAGTGGGAGGTGTTCCTCTTATTGATTCTCCCTAAATTCGGTTGAAAAAATGCTTTACGAGATTTAGAGATCGTGCTAAATAATAATATTTATACGCATTTTTAAAAGTGGATTCTTTTGGATAATATTTTTTAGTAAAGCGTTTCTAAATAGTCCTCTATAGCACGTTAGAATTGGTTTGATTGAGAGTCCTTGTCGGCAAACCTCGTCCGAACCTCGCTGCGCTATCGAAAAAATGTATGCCGCGAAATTTGTTTTATTACCATTCCCTTCCTCGTCATGTAAATCGCTGAATGTTTAAAACCCAAATCTATTTGATGATTGTCAGGGTTACTCCTATAATTCAGTACTATTCTAAAATTTTCTCCTAAATTGCAAAAAATTTCCGTCTTACAGAAAGTAATTCATCACAGATTTTTGTAAACTGTTTGCAGTCTTGGGCAAACCCGTTGCCTTGCCCAGCATCGTTGACCTGAGGTTCTAGCGTTCTAGGTTTTTTGACCAATTATATTAAATTCCAATGAAAATTCGAGGGGAAATTCTAGACGCCGCTGCTTGATCGCTATTACCGAAGTTTCTCTAGTTCAATTCTAGACGAATGCCGGGCAACCCTATCGACTACAAAAACCGCAAAGCAATTGTTTCCTATTTTTGTCCTCTCACAACCCTTACACACACACACAATATTTCCTTTCATACATTGTGGAGACAATACGATTCGTCTCCGACTGGGGTTGGTGTTCCTGTTGATGGGAGATACCTGAGAGGATATTTCTCAACCCAGTGTAGTTCGCTCCGATCTCAACCTTCCAACGGATGAACAAACCGCCACCTCCCGATAAAACACGCACAGCACTCACCCACTAACCTCCCTGGGGACAGAGGCATCTGACGCGTGGTCGCTTGCGCAGGATCCTGCCAATTACCGGCCAGTGTGCAGGACCAGCCAGACATCCCATGCGCGCTGAGAGTCGGCGAAGCGGGAGGAGGGGGAGGACGGGCGCGTGCTGCTGAGGGACGTGTCGCGCAACGCGCTGTGCCGCGAGCACGCGGGCTACCTGGTGCAGCCGCTGGACCTGCTCAACGGCGCGCTCGCCTCGCTCATCCTGCTCATCCTGGGCAAGCTCGCCTACGACTACTGGCACTTCAAGCGCACCGGCAAGCTGCCCTGGATCGTCACCAAGATGCCCTGAGCTCGCTGCCCCACCGCCGTCGCCCACGCCGACGCAACTCACTTCACGCAACTCAATTCCGTAACTCGCGAGTGGGAAAGGGGGAGTTCTGCCCAGAACGAATCGCAATACGGAACGGAAGAGATGTTGACCTGCCAACATTTCATAAAATGGGACTGCAGCCACATTATGGCTCAGTGGAATGGCAAGAGAACAACGCTTATACCTCGTAATAAGCAGAGGCCGTAGTAACACTTGGTACACACTGTGCTTGAGAAGTGAACCTTCTGATCGTGTGAGGTTTTGTAACAAAAGTTAGCAGTGCTTTCACTTTATTTATAACTTTTCAACAACGATATACAATACACCTCCCATTCGTGAATTACGGAATTTAGTTCTAAGAACGACAGACTAAAGTAAGGATGTGCAGCTATTGTGCTACTGAGAAATCTACAGTCAAATGCTCCACGGAGCGTGAGTAAACCGCCTACTTATTGGAACTGTCCAGTAACTGCGGGGAGCTTGTAGTTGTTCGTTGTGGACAGTCGTGTAGTGTTTTAAACACCGCTGTTGTTTTTCTATGAAATAGTAGTGGTTAATTTTTTATGGAGATGATCAAAGAAGATTTTTTCTCTTCTGTTTTCTGCATCAATGAATCTAAGTATTGCTGGCAGGTGGATTTCTTGAGATCTAATGAAAATAAATCATTTTGGGAAGTTGAATTCGTAATTCACCGATTCATAGAAAATAATGATCGAGTGAAATATACAATTTAATGAACACCGCATTTATATTTTTAACATGTTGACAAAGAATTATACGAAAAGTATCAATACAGTAAACACATTTATTACAACCACGGTATATACACATAGAAGGCATTAATGAATCACTTTCATGCAAAAAGTCAATGGATGTAGACTATATACCTTAATACAATTACTTAGGTACACAGGTTCATTTTTATTTCAGTTAAATACATATTTTATAAATATTTCCAGAAGATTTGTTTCTTCATCATTATGTACTTCGAATTCGTAATTAAACTTTACTGCCGTGTTAATAGAGTCGTTCCGCTATTCATTAGGTAAGTTGGGAACAAAATATATGCAAGTTATTCATTATCATAACTTTTTCAAATATTTGAACTGAAATGTAAACGTTAATAATGAAATTCAACAAATATTAAATAATAAGAAAGTGTAGTCCATATGGAATGTGTTGGTATGTAAATGAAAATGTTCTTATACGTACGTAACTATAACACAAATCATTCTCAATTTCGAAACAACTTCAGAATAGTCTAATAGCATCAATTTATGTTTTATAACCAACGAGGTCCTTTATTCATTCTGCAGCTTTTAACGCAAATGTTATTGGGTGTAATAAAGTTCCGTCCGCTACTATCTATCTCTTGAATATTTGTTTGGAGGGGAAGGGTATTGTTGAGAACGTATACTTAAGTATTTTTTCAGTTTTATATTTATCACTTTTAGTAGTAGCATATTTCGTAAACTACATAACATCTAGTCGGATGAAATGAGGCAATTTTCATATATTTTAAAAACTTTACAGAGTGTATAATCACAAATTGAATGGCAGCAAACAAAATTGCGAGTAAATTCTTGAACATTAAAACCCTTACTCTGCTTTAATTGCCATGTGATTGCAATCGCGTTAGTACTATTCAACTTTAAGGTACTGCCAAAGAAATACATTTTTGCACAGCTTTATACATTTATTTTCAAAAAGTGCTGTAATGGAGAAATATACCAAAATCCTTGTAAATACAGCTCATTACACGTATTTTATCAAGTGATCATTAATGTAAAATAAACCTTCGTAGTTTTGCCAGTGTAGACCGTACAAAGATGAGGTCACAATGAAATGTCCAAAGTTACTAAGAGATTTTGAATGGTATTGATTGGAGACAAGTCCAAACAGTTTTTTCCGAAATGATCTGTTCTTTTCAATCAGTTAACTCAGTTCTGTTTGCTTGCGGATATACACTGTCTTTTGTACACAAATAATTTATTTTGAAATGGTGATATACAATATTTATTACATGTTTGAAATAAAGTTGTTTGTTTCAGATAATACCCATTTAAAATCATTCGTGTATATACGAATGGTTTTAAATGAATATTATCATTTGATTAACATAAAATTGATAAAACCGAAATTCAACAACTCGACAACAAATATTTCCATCAAATTCATCAAAACGCATGAATGTATGCATTTGTTAAATGTTTATTATATCGTTCACGATCAGCAGTTACAAATAAATAATGCAAGTGTTACTTGTATGTGTTATGTCAGTTAAGCAAACTGAATCAAGACCAAGAAAGAAGTATTGGCTCGTGTACGATAAAAAAATTCGTCTGTCGATATGATAGTATTATAGATATAGTTACCATTTATAATTTTACTAATGGAGAATCGTTCCTTTTTGCACAGATCTTATATTAGATGAATATAAGGTGCAAGTATACGAATGCTGCGTAACCTCGAGCAAACCAGGGATGCCAACTGTCTAGGTAACCCAAGGACTAGTACTTCAAGGACAAGTACTTCAATCTACGCTACAAAAATAAGACTGACTTTTGTCCAATAGTCCTCACGTGATGATCTGTTGACGAACATGCAGAGCCGTCTTAATCAATAGACTAACTAGATCCAGGTTTTGTCCATCGATAGGCGAGATATTTTGAAATAAATGTAATTTAGAAGAAATATAATATATATTTATTAATGAAGATTGAAATATGATATAGAAAAGAAAGTAAGACTGGATAGAATTCAATTTGAGTTGTACTGATTTAAAAAAATAATTGCACTCGGGTATGGACATTTATTGAA